AATCAAAGCAATTTCTGAAAAACCCACGGCCAACATCCTATTGAATGGAAAAGTTGGAAGCATCTTCACTGAGATCTGGTACCAGACAGGGATGTCCACTCTCACCACTGCTATTCAATATAGTTCTGGAAGTTCTAGCCAGAGCTATTAGGCAAGAAAAAGAAACGAAAAGGATACAAATTGGGAAGGAAGAACTCAAACTAACCCTCTTTGCCGATGATATGATTGTTTATTTAGGGGATCCAAAGAATTCGACTAAGAGACTATTGGAACTCTTCGGAGAGTTTGGCAAAGTAGCAGGATATAAAATCAGTTCACAAAAAACAACAGCCTTTGCATACACAGGCAATACCACGGCTGAGAAAGAACTGCTAAGATCAATACCATTTACAATAGTTACAAAAACAATCAAATGCCTTGGAATAAACTTAACCAAGGACGTTAAAGATCTCTACGATGAAAATTACAAAATCTTAAAGAAAGAAATAGAAGAGGATACCAAAAAATGGAAAAATCTTCCATGCTCATGGATTGGAAGAATCAACATCATCAAAACGTCCATTTTCCCAAAAGCAATTTATAGATTCAATGCGATACCAATCAAAATACCAAAGACATTCTGAGATCACAAAAGTATGATGCTGAAATTCATATGGAGACACAGGAGAACTCGAATAGCTAAAACAATCTTATACAACGAAAACAAAGCTGGAGGCATCACAATACCAGATTTCAGGACATACCACAGGGCAGTTATAATCAAAACAGCATGGTACTGGTACAGAAACAGATGGATAGACAAATGGAACAGAATAGAAACATCAGAAATCAATGCAAACATCTACAGCCAACTTATATTTGATCAAGGATCCAAAACCAATCCCTGGAGTAAGGACAGTCTATTCAATAAATGGTGCTGGGAAAACTGGATTTCCACATGCAGAAGCATGAAGCAAGACCTCTACCTTTCACCTTACACAAAAATCCATTCAACATGGATTAAAGACCTAAAATCTATGAACTGACACCATCAAATTATTAGAGAGCATTGGAGAAACCCTGCAAAATATAGGTACTGGCAAAGACTTCTTGGAAAAGTAACCAGAAGCACAGGCAGACAAAGCCAAAATTAACATTTGGGATTGCATCAAATTGAGAAGTTTCTGTACTGCAAAAGATACAGTCAGGAGAGTGAAGAGGCAACCGACAAAATGGGAAAAAATATTTGCAAACTATGCAACAGATAAAGGGTTAATAACCAGAATCTACAAAGAGATCAAGAAACTCCACAACATCAAAACCAACAGCCCACTTAAGAGATGGGCCAAGGACCTCAATAGACATTTTTCAAAAGAGGAAATCCAAATGGCCAACAGACACATGAAAAAATGTTCAAGATAACTAGTAATCAGGGAAATGCAAATCAAAACCACAGTGAGGTTTTACCTCAACCTGGTGAGAATGGTTCATATTCAGAAATCTACCAACAATAGATGCTGGAGAGGATGTGGGGAAAAAGGGAAATTAACCCACTGTTGGTGGGGATGCAAACTGGTAAAGCCACTCTGGAAATCAGTCTGGAGATTCCTCAGAAACCTGAATATAACCCTACCATACAACCCAGCCATCCTACTCCTTGGAATTTACCCAAAGGAAATGAAATTGGCAAAGAAAAAAGCTGTCTGCACCTTAATGTTTATTGCAGCTCAACTCACAATAGCTAAGACCTGAAATCAACCTAAATGCCCATCAACATTAGGCTGGATAAAGAAATTTTGGGACATGTACTCTATAGAATACTATGCAGTAGTAAAAATAATGAAATCTGGTCATTTGCAACAAAATGGAGGAATCTGGAAAACATCATGCTGAGTGAATTAAGCCAATCCCAAAGGGACAAATATCAAATGTTTTCCCTGATCAGTGACAACTAACCAAGCATCAAAAAGGAAACCCGTTGAAGTGAAATGGACACTATGAGAAACAGTGACTTGATCAGCCCTTGTCCTGACTGTTGATGTACAATTTAATACTTTATCCCTTTCAGTATTTTTTTTTGTTCTACTTAATACTATTGGTTGAACTCTGTAATTAACACACAATTATTCTTAGGTGTTTAAATTTAACTGAAAAGTGATCACTGTTAAATATAAGAGTGGGGATAAGAGAGGGAGGAGATGCACTATTTGGGACATGCTCAATAGGACTGGCTCCAAATGTTGGAGTTAGAATCATGCCAGGGGATTCCAATACAATCCCATCAAGGTTGAATGTACCAATGCCATCTCACTAGTCCCAGTGATCAATTTCAGTTCACAATTGATCATAATGATAGGTCTAAAAGTCAAAGGGATCACATAAACAAGACCAGTGTCTGCTAATACTAACTGATAGAATAAAAAAGGGAGAGAACGATCCAACATGGGAAGTGGGATACACAGCAGACTCATAGAAGGGCAGATGTCCTAAACAACACTCTTGCCTCAGAATCAGCCCTTAAGGCATGTGGATCCGGCTGAAAAGCCCATGAGAGTATTTTAAGCATGGAAAGACAAGACACTCTGGCAAAAAAAAAAAGAAAACTAAATGAAAGATCTCTGTGAGTAAGATCTCAGTGGAAAGAACGGGCCATCAAAGAAGGAGGTACCTTTCTCTGAAGGGAGGAGAGAACTTCCACTTTGACTATGACCTTGTCTAAATAAGATCGGAGTCAGCGAACTCAAAAGGCTTCCATAGCTTTGGCAACTCATGACTAGAGCATAGGGAGATTACTGACGCCATAAACAAGAGTGTCAAATTGTTAAGTCAACAATAGGTGTCACTGTGCACTTACTCCTCATGTAGGATCTCTATCCTTACTGTGTTGTTCAATTTGAAGTAATGCTATAACTAGTACTGAAACAGTATTTTACACTTTGTGTTTCTGTGTGGGTGCAAGTTGATGAAATCTTTACTTAATATATGCTAAATTGATCTTCTATACATAAAGATAATTCAAAATGAATCTTTATGTGAACAGAATGGAAGAGGGAGCAGGAGATGGAAGGGGTGTGAGTGGGAGGGAAGTTATGGGGGGAAAAAGCCATTGTAATCCATAAACTGTACTTTGGAAATTTATGTTTACTAAATAAAAGTTAAAAAAAGTAAAAAAAAAAAGTATCTATGAAAATTATTCGATCATTTATTAATTTCAAATTTCATTGAACAAATGTGTACACTAAAATTCTATGGCCAGTGTTGAGTTGCAGGACATTCCATATCGAAGTGCTGGTTCAATTCCTGGACGCCCTGCTTCCAAATCAGCCTTTCTGCTAAGGCACTGAGAAGGCAACAGAAAATGGCCCCGCTGCTTAGGCCTTTGCCATCTACATGGGAGGCAGGATGAAATTCTTGGCTGCTAGCTTTGGCCTGGCCCAGACCTGGTTGTTGCACTTATTTGGGGGAATGAACCAACAGATGGAAAATCCTATCTCTCTATCTCACTCTTTCTCTCCTTCTCTATCAGTCTGCCTTTCAAATTAAGTAATTAATTAATGTTTTAAAAGTATGGCGGCGGCCATTGGAGGGTGAACCAACGGCAAAAGGAAGACCTTTCTCTCTGTCTCTCTCTCTCTCACTGTCCACTCTGCCTGTCAAAAAAAAAAAAAAAAAGAATCTGCATTTTATCTTGTAGTAAAACACTTTAAGGAGAATAGATTATTTCAGAACACTCAAGAGAGGAAAATTAAAGTTTGTAAATATATTTATATATAAATATTTATTAAAGATTTTATTTTATTTGAAAGGCAGAGTTGGAGGGGGAGTGAGGAACAGAGGAAGGAGGCCAGAGCCAGGTCTCTCATGTATGGGATGCAGGGGCCCAAGCACTCAGGCCATGGAATGCTACTTTTCCAGCTGCATTAGCACAGAGCTGGATCGGAAGTGAGCAGTTTGAATTTAAACTGGCATTATGGCTGGTGAATATCTCAGGCAGTGGCTTAATGTGCTTTGCCACAATGCTGATCCAAAGATTCTGTTCTAATTATTGATGCTTTCTGTTAAATAAGTCATTGAGTTAAATGGGAAAAAAAATTCTGAAAAGCAAAGTTCTTAAAATCTAAATTTTTTTTAGCAGATACACTTGTTAAAAGGTATACCTGAATATAAGTTTAACAAATAAATTGTCAAAGGAAATTTTGAAATTTGTAGCAATGGATATAACAAGAAATATTCAACAATAAACCAGCAGAATGTCTTATCTTTATTTAGTATTAAAATAAATTTTACCACAATTAATCTAGGCCTGGCTTCTAGATTGGTCTTGCAATTATGTTAAACAAGCAAACATTCAAATCTCATCATTTGCATTATCCATTCTTAGAAGCGTGTCTTAATGAAAACCATTATATAACTCTTTCCTTCTATCTGACCTAGATATTGCATATAAAGGCAATTTTATAGTTTGTAAATAATGGCAAGAGCATCAAAACCAGGAGCACTGATTGGTAACCATTAAACTATGTAACTAAGTAGTCAGATATGATTTAGGACATTGTCCTAGCCCTTTAACATATCAGCACATCCCTGCGGAGTCTAAAGAGATCAGGCAGTAGACCAAGAATGATGAGAAAAGAATACAAGAAGAGCAAAAGGTTATGGTACATGCAGAGGAATGTCTGCGATTCCATAGAGAACTACACAGGTGGAAAGGGAAATGGCCCGCGGATGGGTATTTTGGATCTTGCCAAAGGGAAAGATGGTATTGAGAGGGGCTCAGAAAGTCATGGAAAGAAAAAATTACACTTGGCTTTGTATTAATGTTTCCCACCTTTCTATTAAGACTGTATTCATCCTAGCTTATTTAATAAAACATTAATGAATTCATTTGTGCAGCAACTTCCCAATACTATAAAGATCTTTCTCTCTGAATTTTAAAAAGAAATTAGGCTGTCTAAATCAATCAGTCACTTTGGCTATATTTTTTGTCTAGGCTGAAACAAAACTTACATAATTGTACTTACTTTATAAACGGTTCCAAAAGCACCAGAGCCAAGGACTTTCACTCTCTTGAGCTCAGTTTCTTTCAGAATCCGAAGTTGAGCTTGATTAGGTGCTGTGCCACTGGGAGTCAAGGGCTCCACCAACTACAAAGCAACAAGAAGGAAGTTGTACAACTTTCACTCTGATAAGAATGCCTTCTCTCCCTCTCCGGTTCTCTTTGGCAGACATGTGAAGACATACAAACATATTTGTCTGTGACAAACAACATTCTTGTTATATGGCCCACTCTCAACCGCTACAGACTCACATCTATGCACTCCTTCAGAATCTATCCTTTCTCTTCTCCCATTCTTGGATGGGATAAACACAGGAAATAAATATGTACCCAACTTGAAGCAAACTAGTCTAGGAAATCTGATGCATATACACAAATAGGAAACACTAGTGATTTAAATCTAGCTGGGAAGATAAGACAAACAGATGAGGACAAAAACAAGCATAATGCCAATATTGTACCCTAGAACAGTAGTTCTAAAACTTTAGTGTAAACATGAATTACCCAAGGTTCTTGGTTAAAATGGAGATCCTGGTTCAGTAGGTCTGGAGCAGGACCGAAATTTTGCACTTTTACAGAATTGCTATATATGATGGGAGTCACTGAGTGCATGTTAAGAGCAGGGCCCTAGTGTACCTCCTAGATCAAGCATTCTCTGATAAATCATAGCATTCTAGATCACAAGTGAATGCTACAGAATGCAAAGGGACAAAACAATCATTGGGAAGGGAGGCCCACCATTAACTTTGGCTTCCTAAAGAAAGACTTTAATATCAATCTCAAGGTAATGAAAATGTATTGACATTAGGAGGGAAGCGACACTGTGCAAAACAGTTTGGGCACAGCATTATGAGAAAGAGGAAAACATAATGGAATACAATCAGGAGTTAGGTCTGAAAGGTGAGATTAAAGTGCAAAACACCGCGTCATGCAGTGGGCTGGGTGTGGCCCAAAGATGCTAAATTAGCCTGATAGTTCTAGATGTCAGAGTTAAGTTGTTATTGAGCTGGAGAGGAGGAAAGCAAACAAAATGTATGAGAATGTGTGCCATTTCCTTGCATAAATGAGAAAAACATTTACACAAGAGAGAGGCTGGCTACCTGATGGTAGCTTATATCCTCTGGTAAAAGTTTTTGTCAATGCTTGAGGAAAGAGGCAAGTGGGTGAAATAAGAGGATTTTTTTTAAGTTAAAAAGGAACTAAACTTTAAACACAGATAAATAGCCTGTTCTTTCTCAGCATAAGGAAATAATTAAGGGCTACTCCTACTCAAATTGTCTTGAAACCACCACTGTATTTCAAAATGTCTATTTACAAGGCTAAGTGCACTGTAGCCTTCCAGCTTGGGTATTATTATCATGCTTCTGTGAACATCATGGCCTACTTAATTAGTGGAACAGGCTTGAGTGTAGGTGAGTGTAGCAATAACAGGAATTTAGGACAAACATATTAAAAAGTATTAATAAAAGTTTTTTTTCTAACAGTTTGGGAATGTGCTTTTATTTCATTTTCAGATTTATAGCGTAAAAAGTATAAATCTGATTATATATAATTGCATTCAACTCACATTTAAAAATTTTCAGAAATAATCACTAAATTGTATATGAGAAAACCCTTTGGGTTTGAAGACAACTTCTAAACAAGAGTTGTTTGGTGGATTTTGATTTGCATACACTATGTGGAGAATGAATAAGATTTATGAATCCTCTTTCAAAATCACATGCCAAAGTCATATAATGTCACATTCAAACTTAGAGAGAAGGCTTCAGTACTTTGAACTTTACATATATATGTCTTCTCTCATGCCAAAATTTTATTTTTTAAAAACTTCACAATTTTGTGTTAGATGTTTAGTTTCTACCAACTAACCATGGGTTTCATTTAAAAAATTCTACAGACATATTTTCTCCAGAATTTGAATATTGCATCTTTAAGGAAGTGTATTTTATATTGTGAGCCAACAGTGAAATGGTGGGAAGAGGACTGAATTAAAATCTGGAGGACTGTACACCAGTGCTGCCTTTCACAGACTTAGAAAGTAATTAACCTGCCACACTTGGCTCCTTACTTCCCATCTGTAAACTAGGTACAATAATAATTACCTTAGAGGAAAGAGAAAGGGAGTGAGATAGCATAGCTGGAAAATTCTGCAGTGTTGTCTAGTGTATGTTAGGCGGGGAATGTGTCAGTCCTTCAGGGACAGAATCATATATTATCAATACATTTTTGAAACAAAGTATCTACCAAAGCTTCAAGCTTATAGTCTATTTTGTATTTAAAAGTATAGTTTTTAATTTTATGCATATAACAGAAGAAAGAACCTAGAAAATATGATTTGGGAAAGTATATTATCTTTAAAAGTATGTCAACACTATATTATACTTTAAAAGCATTCCAACAATATATCTTACTTAAACAATTTATTCACCTCTGATGCAGAGTCCTAGCTTCAATATTTAAGAAGTTAAAAGTGATCCTTTTAACAATTATTCTTCTATTGCAGTTGGTGTAGAAAAATCTTAAATTTAAAACAATCAGGCGTAAGCAAATTTTTTTTAGAAAATAAAAATCAGTTCATAACACCAATCAGTACATGTTTACCTAGTAAGGAAATGGAAATTTCAAGGTCATTCTTGTTTTAAAGAAAAAGATATATTTATTTATTTATTTGAAAGAGCTACCGAGAAAGAGAAAGGGAGAGACAGAGACAGAAGAGAGTTCACTCTCCAAATAGCTTCAGTGACCAGGGCTGGGAGCCAGGAGCTTTAACTCTGTCTCCCACTTGGGAGGGCTTATGCAGGGGCTTAGGCGCTTAGTCCATCTTTCGCTGCTTTCCAGGCACATTATCAGGGAGCTATCCTGGAATTGGAGCAGCTGGGATTCGAAGTGGTGCCCATATGCAATGCTGATGCTGTAGAAGGTGGCTTAAACCACTGCACTACAGCAACTGGACCCTCCAGGTCATTCTTAAAAAGCACCTCACTAAAAAGCAAAACAAAACAAAAACAAACAAATTCAACACTACTCTTTTCATAGCAATGAACTTTCCCTGCACATGGTTAATAGACTACTTTCTCTTTTTTAAATTCAGTTATCTGGATGTCCACTGCTGTTGAAAAATTTGACTTCCTCTCTAACTCTACTTTAATGTTCAGAATTCTCTCACTGAATGCCCCAAGCTGCGAATGAGGAAAAATTCTATCCACCTCTAGCCTCCTAGCTAAATTGAAAATGTGCACAACAATGTGTTGCTTCCAAACTTCATTCTGGTGAAATGTGAAGGTTTGAAAGTGCAAGGTTGAAAGTGGTCAAGTTGGTTTTTTGCAAACAGCCAGGATAACATACGGATTACTACCGTATTTTTCCACGTATATTGACTCTCTTTGTTTTGAGTATCTATTGATGAGACAGCCTATTACAATTTCAGAAAACTCTAATCCTTAGAAAGTATTTTCCTGAAATTGTTTTTCTCTTATATTCTGTACAAAGAAAACTATCAGCTTGCATGCTAGAGAACTGAATGTGGCAATATAAAAGAAATTATAATAACTTATGGGTAATTTACATGTTCACAATAACCACTATGCAAAATATTAAATGGATCCCATAAATTCAGTTGTAAGGTCTTTGTGATTACAGCACTAAGCTTTATCCTGTAAGCTCAGTATTTCACTGCTGGTATAATGATATCATTGGTTGCCAATTTAATGATTTTAATTAAACCATACATTGCTTGCCTATCTGGTTATATTTTGAACTAGAAAAATTCTCTATCACTTTCTTAGTTCTGCCACTGAGATATCCTCTCTCCAGCCACTTTCCAGTTTTGTTACTTTTAATATACCCTCTATGAACAGCTTGCTAACAGGAACCCCACTGAAGAAATAGATTTATTTTCTCTCCAGTACAACAATTTCCCTGGCCCCTACTATCTACTTTTGAAGCCAGGCACCTTCCTCAACTATTTTTGTAGACTCTGATTGTTCATCTGCTCTGTTTAACATACTGTAAAGTAGAATCTCCTTCATCAGGATATCGAATACAATTTTCACTTGGATTAAAAAACTGAGTATCTTCTAGACCTAATGAACATCCTTAAGCACATCAAAAGAAGAAATAAACAACTCACCTCTGTTTCCAGGAATCTTCTCAAGGCTCTTTTCTTTTTGATGCTCTTCCTTCTAACATACACTGCAAATGTCAGGCCCACAATGACCAGGATAAAAAGCCCACCAATGACTCCAGCTGCAATCAGGGGAGTTCTGTCAATCAGAATGGAAAAAAAAAAAATATGAGGAGATAAAAGACAGAAATAGGAAAGCAGTTGTTTAAGATCGTATTTACATTTCACAAATCCAGTCATTTAGAAGTAATGCAAGTAAAAATACATTAGTTCTATAACACAACATTTTTCATGGTTAAAAAAAGGTTACATTTTTGTTTTGCTTGTTCTATTCTTATATAATAAACCATGCTCATAAAGCTAATCCTTGGGAATGGGTAGCCACAACATGCTATTTAATTAAAAAATGCAAAATTTGGTAAAAGAATGGAGAACACATGCCAAGTGTTGATATGGGAACATTTACAATTGTTTAAATTATACTATGATCTATGAATAAGTGAAATATATACTTTAATGGTATTGTTATAGACTATAATTCTATTTTTAGCATTTTCTCTAGATCAAGTTTTCCCAACAGTGGCACTATTGACATTTTGGGAAGGATACTAGTTTGTGGTAGGGCTTGTTGTATGTATTTCAGGATGTTTAACAGAATCCCTGGCCTCCATCCACTAGGTGGCAATCTTACTACTATCTCCACTCATAAGAATATCACTGGACATTGCTAAACATCATCATTATTTGGGAACCACTGCTATAAAAGCAAAAAAATGAGAGCGGCCTGGAGAAATATGAAACCTAACAGCTCCGGAGTTCCAGGGTACTGGTAAAATGTTGCTGTTGAATAGAAGTGCTATTGGAAACTGATAAGGATAGCCATGGCAGGAAGAAGACCAGGAGAAAGATAAAGAATTGGGTCAGATAATTTCAGAGTGAGAATGATGGTAATGGGAAATTGCATTAATAAAAAGTGTGTAAGCAAACGTATATTTCCAAAGTTCTGTACCGTAAGTATTACAAGAAAGGTGTGTATAATGCCAAATTGGGATTAGCAAGAGGTTGCCTGGAGACTTTTATTGTTAAAATGTTTATCCAATATATTAGAAAAGATATAATTTTGAAACTGATGACTTATTGTTTTCCAAGATAATTTTTCCTTGTTTGAATGGTAAAACTTGTGGTTTTCAATTTCTTGTTCTACAATAGAGCATTTTTGGTGAGTTTTCAGTGGTCAGAGTTTTGAAGTCTATGAATTTTGTATGCTACAGAAAATAACCAGGAGCAAAACTCATAGGTGTTCCTAATAAATATTTGACTATGCAACCATTATAGATATTGAAACTAACAAAAACACTACTCATATTCCTGTATTTTCCATAATAAAATATCTTATATATTCCTAATTTTTAGAAGGATTTATTCTATGTAACTACATTAGTTTAGAAAAGAATTACTTGCTTTTGCAAAATAAACCATTACTCAAGATGACTGAGCAGAAATAATGATAGTGGATGACTGTAATTAAAGTCTTGAAATTTTAAGGGGGTCGTGGGGAAAAAATCTGGGTAACTACTTCTAGAAATGAAATCCTGTCTTTTAAAGATTATGACTGCTATATTGTCATATAAAACTGCATAATAATCTTAAAAAGTAGTTCATTCTAAAGGTTGTTTCCTGACAGCTCTATGTACTATAGCACACTAAAATGTTGCTATAATTCAACTAGATTTTCCTAAATGGGATATTCTGAAGATATAAAAGCCTATACTGAGAAAATTAAATTACAGTCTGGACACAAACTCATCATTGTGATATGTTTTGGTGTGTCTAAGATCATATTTTTTGAGAATGCCAGTTAAATATGTATTTTAAAAATTTTTTTTTGGTTTTCAACTAAAGGCATTTCTGCTCAAGAGCCTAACATATTTTGGAAAGTCACTAATACAGGAAGAATTATATTTTCATTTCATAAGCTGAATTTTTTTAAAGGTTTATTTATTTAATTTGAAAGGCAGAGTTATAGAGACAGAGGAGAGACAGTCAGAGAGAGAAAGAATCTTCCAACCACTGGTTTACTCCCCAGATGGCTGCAACGCAGGGACTGGGCCAGGCTAAAGCCAGGAGCCTGGACCTTTATCCAGGACTCTTACATATGTGCAGGTATCCAGGTACCTGGGTCATATTCCATTGCTTTCTCAAGAGTATTAGCAGGGAGCTGGATTGGAGGTATAGCAGCAGGACTAGAACTGGCACCCACATGGGATGCCAGGGTCATAAGTGGCAGCCTAACCTGATATGCCATAATGCCATTCTGAAGTTAATTTGTTTTAATTGCAAAAGACTTATGTATAAATGAAAACAGTATCCAACATAGATTCAGGCAAACTCTGAACTTTGTTTATTTGTTACACAAAAGAATACCTGGCATATATTTATGAACACACAAGTCAATGTATTAAAAGAAAATGTTCTATCTTGGTTTTTGTTCAAATGTTTTAAAAATGATCCCTTCCAATAGTTAAGATCTTTTTATCTTATTCCAGTAAAGATCAATTGTCATGTCATTACAACAATTGTTCATGATAATCTAAATGAAGTATTCAAAACTCAAAACACAGCTATTTGGTTTTATTTTCAGAGTTTATTTTCAAAATTGTCACATAGAAGTTTCTGATTATTTTTTTTTCTTCTCTTACCACTCTACAGGAATGACCTGAAGAGACAGAGAACTACAATTCTTGCACTTAAAAATCACAAATAAATGTTAGACATTTCAAGAGGCAACGATTTTCATAGAACAGCCTCTTGAAAAAGAAGTCATTAGCTACAAAGAAGCAAAGAAAAATCGATAAATGGGGATCACTCTATAAGACACATTGGAAGTTCTATTTAATAACGACTGTCATGAAAAAAGGGGATGAAACTAAGAATGTTTAACAGACATAACAACTAGATGTGAAATATAATTCTGGATTTGATACTGGTTTGGATAATTTTAGGATAACTTGAGATCTAAATATAGATTAAATAGCAAATGAGATAAAAGTGTGCAAGTGTCTTAAGGTAAGCACCATAGAAACTGGAAGTACTGGATTATAAAACATTAGGATCTTAATATGACAACGTTTTTGCATAGATATATCTTTATAGACCTGAAATATATAGACCTGAAATAATACAAATAATACTTTAAATAATAGTTATTTGTTGAAGTATGAAAAAGTACTCTTATTTTTGTATTTTACTGATGTTAATTTCCCAATTTTTATAATATAATTATATTTATTGTGAAATAATTTATTAAATTTTGGAAAAATACAGAAAAAGAAATCAATGTCTAAAAGTTTTGTTTTGTAAAAATGAACTTGTTTTATTTTTTCTTGAATGTTTAGTTCGCATTTTTCAATTAAGATTTCATTTTATTATTCCCTGTCCACTTTAACAGTCTAAGTACTTTTGCATATATTTTCTATTCATTACAGTTTAATGTGTCTGAACCATTTAATTACCATTATGCTTCTTACAATGAACATTATGTTCCATAAAATCAAGCTAATTAATTAAAAGTTAACACTATTTACATGTTTCCTGTTTCTCTCAACTTTGAAGATTCACAGATATTTGCAGTTGTAGGTTAGACACCTATTTTTCTCCATGAGTTAATGCTTAGGGCATATGAGTTCCCTTTGGTTCAGGAGGACACAACTACTTAAATTGCTTCTTTAAACTGCTTTATGTATCTTCAAGGTTTAATGCTGGCTATTGTCAATCAATCAGTTTCTGAGAATGTTTTCCTCCTATATGTAACTCAGGGAACTCATGGATGAGACACTATTGAAATCAGAACAGTCAAACACTAACAGAGCTAAAGTACTTTGCAATCCCTCATCTCTAAGAGGAGTAGTATTTTTTGGTTGGTTTATATACTGACTATAAATTAAAAAGAATTGGGACTCTGTAAAGTATAAATAATAGGACAATTCACATGTCAAGTACAAACTTATACTAAAAGGATGTAACCCATCAATAGCTTACCTTATTCTGTGATTTGGAAATAGTGTAATGAAACTGATATTATCCCACTACTCATAAAACTAATATCATAAGGATTCTGAGTCACAAGTGATCTTGGTAATTTGTTTAAAAGCATATAATTTGGTTTTCATAATTCACTTAGAAATTCAGAGACCACACAACATATTATATTCAATTATCTTGAATGCAATTAGCCCATAAAAGAAAAGTGTCTTTCAAAAAAAAAATAGTACTCATATAAAAAAGATACATTCTTTTCATTGATTGTTAAATTTGAACCCTGCTATTCCTCTTGCTACAGAATATAAAATGTAGGAGTACATATAAGACCTTATTTTTACAAACACTCAAATATCCTTCTGTATATCAGATTATAAACAAAGGGCAGTAAAATCCACACAATTTATAATGAAAATTCAAATGTTTCTAAAAACTGCTTTCTTAGATACATTCCATTTAATTTGAGAGGCTGGCTAGACTTTAAAATGACAGTGAGGCTCCATCATTTGAGGTGGTGATTAAGATACCACAGGTCATATCATGGTGCTTGGGTTCAACACTTGGCTCTGGCTGCTGACTCCAGCTTCCTACGAATGGAGTCCCTGAGAGGCAGTGGTGACGGTTCAGGTAACTGGGTTCTTGTCACTGACTGAGGAGACTTAGGTTGAATTCCTGGTTTCTAGCTTTGGTTCAGCTCACTCCTGGTCTGAGCATTTGGGGACTGACCCAAGGAATGGGAGCTCAATATTTTCTCTATCTGTCTCTCAAATAATAGTGATGACTCAAGTAACTATGTTCCTGCCACCCATAATGGACACCTAGAAGGAGTTCTTGGCTTCTCGCTTTGGTCCTTGCCCAGCTCCAGCAGTTGTAGGCATCTGGGTGGTGAAACAGCAGATCAAAGCTCTCTCTATACATCTGTATCTCTGTCTCTCCATCTCTCAAATAACTAAATCTTCTTTAAAAAAATCTAGAACAAAGGACTTTCAGCTTTTCATTAAAAAGAAATAAATGTTTGAGAAGATGTATATGTTTACTACACAATATAAACAATGGCCTGGCTTTGAACCAGTGGATAGAATAAATCTCTCTCTCTCTCTC